ATATATTTTTATTTAAGAGATATATTTCAACTAAACATAGTATCTACCTATTTTTACTATAAATATATTTGCCAAATATATTTAAAAGTAAAAAATGTAAATATATGTTATAAATCTACCATATTATATGTATATATAAGTAATTTACGGATCGGATCGGATATTCGAATTTTTAAAATTAGTATTTGTGATTTGCTTCGGTTTAGACGGATATTAAATTTTACTAATTGCTTTGCTTTGATTCAAAACGGATATCCAAATTTTTTGGATTGAATCAAAACGAATTACGAATCAAATCAAATTTAACAGATAATTTGTCCAGCCGTACCGGTACCGGTTCATTGAATCAAATCCTGTTTAACTAAAATTGGAGAACTGTAAAAGGAGGCAATGCACTAAAGAAAGCAATGAAAGCGATAAAGAAAAATATCAAAATAAGTTGCACTTTCTAATCATGCCAGCTCACAAAAAAATGGCTAGAGTAAGATCTTTTTAAATACCAAACCTAATGAGCTTCCTATTGGTTTATGTTTCTGGCGCGATCAGTGTAATTTGTTTGGTCAACCAGTGTAATCAATGTGATTATTTTCGTTTGTCAACCAGTGTAATCAATGTCATTAAAATATTGCATTAATAAAATCAAACAATAAATTAAAATAGTATAGAAAGGAAGTTTTCTTTTTGTCAATATTTTATAATACTATCAGTTGGAAATGCTGAAACAATTTTTTTATTAGATAAAGTTATCGGGATGTTATTTAATTTGACATAACAGATCTTTTAAAACTGGTATGGCTATACATAGATGTGGCCTACCGACTAAAAAGTGGGGCAAGTTATAGCCAAAGATGCAGCTGGATGGATCTGGTTCATCAAAAACTGGTCCTAACTCCTAAAGGAATCGAAGATAAGTGTCCAAGCCTTATGACCATCCCTTTTAATAAAACTGTCCTAACTTATTAATCTCTGACAGAATGCAGGACATAACAAAATATATTTTGTTCTTTTCAACTCAACCAAATATATTCGTGTTCTTTTCAACAAGTGAATTCAGACGGTGAACCCAAAGGTTTGCTTCTTTGTTTTTTTTTAAAAGCTCAAAAAGAAAAAAAAA